TCTACAGGAAACCAGACGTCGTGAACGTACTGTTCGAACAAAGGCAACGATTATGAAAGTTAAACAGTTTCTGAACAGACAAAAAAAGGTATCCGAACGCAAATTAGCGAATGAATTGAAAATATCAAGAACGAGTGTTCAGAGAATATTGAAAGAAGATTTAGGATGTTATCCATATAAGTTAACTATCGAGCCAGCAATTACCAACGACCACAAACAAAAAACGAAAAACTTTTGCGAAATGGGTGCAAAAAAATTTTACAAAACATCAAACTCGAAAAATTCTGTTTTCTGATGAAAAAATGTTTGACATCAATGGTATGTGCAATGCACAAAATGATCGTATTTGGGCAGTGAATCGTTCCGAAGCAGATAGAAAGGGTGGTATTAAAAAGAAACAAAAATTTCCCGCCAAAGTTATGGTGTGATTAGGTGCTTGTGCTGAAGGTTTAACACCACTCGTTATTCTCGACAAAGGCTCGGTCAATCATGATGTATACATTAAAAAAGTGCTTCCGATAGCCCAAAAATATGCAAATAAGGTGCTAGGCGATGATTGGACTTTTCAGCAAGACAATGCGCCGCCTCATCGAGATGACATTATACAAAAATGGTGTCGTGAAAATATGCCACAATTTATTTCGTGTAAACGTTGGCCAGCAAATAGTCCTGACTTAAACCTAATGGATTACTGTATTTGGGATGAGTTGAATCAGGCTATAAATTGGAGTCAAGTACAATCAAAATCGACGTTAATTAAGGAGCAAGTATCGTTTTTGCAAAACGATGGAAACTTTTTGCGTTGAATAAAATTGAAAGTTTTGCATAAGATTTCTTGGAGAGTCTACTGAAAAAAAACTAGCCTTATAGCTTCAAAAGAACGGGCGATATGATCGAAATAAAAGTATCCGATTTTATCTGGGCCACCCGATATAGCAGGAAATCAGTCGTTTCTGAGATAAGCTAGTGGAGTGGAATGATTCATTTCTGCAGTATGCACTTAAATACTATGCTTATCATTTAATGCTTCTATTTGGACTCATTTTTGTCGACGCTTTTTTAGTATGCTTTTTCGTGGACGTTTTCCAGTGGGCACTTTTTTAGACGCTTTTTTCTTGTCATGTATTTACAAAATTTTTTAATAAACTATAAATAGAGATGGACCGTATTACGTAAGCTTCGAAAAAACGAAGCGATAGATTATTCGTTATTCACTATATCAAACTATGTTTCATTTATATATGAGTAAAGAATACTCGAATAATGAATGTACGAATACACGTTAGAAAAGAAAGAGAAAAATGCTCAAACCTACGTACGAAATGTAACACGCAATGAATGTAACAGTAGTTTTTTCTTATATATTTTGAACGAAGAATGTAAGAGCCAATGAGCGGGAACTTCTTACGTAAAAGGACCTGTCATACGCGCTAAGAAGATTCGAGAACTATATATGTCAACTGAAGAAGCATTCTAATACACTTGGTCTACTCCAAATTTGACGCTGATATTGAAAATGATCTTATTTTTGTGTTAAAAGTCGATAAGTTTTGGAGAAAATGTCTAAATACAGTGTTAGGCCAAAAGTGTGCACTTAAAAGTTGCTTCTTGAACTTTTTGCTAGTTGATGTTAGGTTTTATTTCATCAAACCGGTAATTTATGTTAGATATAAAAACCGAAAACTGATAGCGGATTCCAGGAGTTAAATTACTAATGCTACGTTTGAAAAATTCCCCGGGATTACCAGCAGCATTAACCAAGATCATATAGCCATTCATTCATTCCTCTGAGTGGAACAAAACTCATTTTTAAGTTTAGTTAGTGACTTTTACGAAGAATGCGTACCACGAGCAGCCATCGAGAGATAAAAGAACTTTGACAAAAGGATAGGGCTCATTTCGGAGTATATACGGCAAGAGAATCTCGACTTTATCTCTCATACTGACTGAGAAAATTGAAATTTACTTTCGTGTCTACAGCAAAAAAACAGCTTTCTAGAACAAGCAAACCTATTAGAAAGATGCTTATATCTTTTGAACGAAACAAGCGTTTCAGCTGATACTTCCAGGTTAATCCTAAGCATGTTTGATATTATTACCCTAAAAGAAATCAGTGACACACTCGCTGCAACATATATTGCAGCTCTCGTGCCATGATTCTTAGAGACGAGTTGTAGTTCTTGAATTTTAATCACTTCAAGAATTTTGTTTCCAGACGTTGACCGATGCACAGTGGGCCTCCAGGCGGACATTTAGCGAAAAATCGAAAGTACGGTTTTTTAAAATTAAAATAGTGGCAAATATACTTTTATAGATGGACTATCTAATGGCATAAACATTTTTATTCTGCGACTTTTCCTTCTTACATATTAATCATGATAAAGCTTATACGTCAGTTATATTTTCTAACTTTGGACAATATTATGGTGAATGTTAAGCTTGTAAAGTAAGTAGACCACATTACTGAGTTGAAAAACTAGTTCTCTATAGCTTTTTGTATATGTGTATAGAGTTTGTGCTGGTGATTATAGAACTACAGGACAATGGAAACAGGGAAAACAGTTACATAGACCTTCCTAAAGAATTTCTAAAGCATACATTGTAAATATGATGGATGACAAAGTAAATTTTAAACCTCTACATCTTTTAGGTTAAAGGAGCAAGTGTTCCGTTTGGAACAGCCATAGCAACATTTTCAAATGGTTTATTTTTTTATCCCTATGGTATTTTTGAAGGTTAAATAGATGTAATTAGAGGTAATATAATTAGGTGTATTTATTATTATTATAATATACAATAAAAAAGAATAGTTTCTTTTGTAGATCAATAAGAAAAAAACCGTCAGTCAGAATAATTCAAACATAATTGAATTGAAATAATAAAATAATTATAGTTGTATAGTTTCACCATGTGTATTTGTTTCACAGCAGGTCGAGAAGAACGTCTTAAATTAGATTCATCTTGATATGTTGAAAATCGATTTTTAATATTTTTGGCTTTAACCTTCAATATGTGTAAAGAGTTTACTATTCATTTAGGATTCTAGACGTTTATGATTAATTATTATCTTCGTTTATTTATAATAAATATCACTTTTAATTTTATTTTTCTGTTCTTATATTTTATTATTTTCTATATCATTTTTAACTTATTTTAGATTTAATATCATATTATTATAGATATAAAATAATTTAGATTTAAAAAATCCTATCTAAAATAGTAATTCCTAAAGAATTTTGACAACAGCAAAGCGCAGGTCAGTTCCTAGTATATCGTTGTCCCTGTAGCGGGTATGGTTGGGTTATCATGTCTGTACTTAATATGTATCACTAAATCGCTGGGTTGGGTGAGGGGTGAGGGTAGGATCAGCGAAACACACATGGGAACCCAACTCAACCCCAACACAAACATAATGGAAGACATGTAAGCAGGGCAGTACAATATTTCTACTATACCTAATGATTTAAATGTATGTTCATTAAATAAAACTTCATATGGTGTTGTTCGTTTTTTGCCTTGTTTTTGTTTGACCGATAATGCTGTTAATGATGGAGAAGCGGCAGCAGTAGCAGATGTTAATGTCATCATAGATGGAGAACATTACAGTTCCATATGATTTTAATTGTGCTAGCTTTAAAGCCATTCATTTTCTTATTATTGTCGTGATATTAAAATATTGCGACGATAATAAGAAAATGAGTAGCTGCCCACTTCTTTGACAAAGAAATAACGTTCGTCTCATGTGATGAAAGCGTACCGCCTCTTATGATGAAGATGTGTTGTGACGAAAGTAGCTTTTATCATTATTTTTATTATTACTTGAAAATTTCTTTGTATTGTACAACCCGAATATAAATGTATAACTCATAGTCATTAGGAGATAAGATAAAAATATCATTCACATAAACAAATATTAGTCAAGCGTACGTCAAAGCACAAAAAAGATCCGCAGAATTTATAAAAAGAGCAGAACAAAAAAAATATAGTGATGTTTTTTTGTTTCATAATAATACGAAAATCTATTGTGTTGTTGATAAAGCAAAAGACCTTACATTTTTATAATAGTAATAAAAAAGTTTAATATCGTTATTTCCAGCGCATGTATAATGGATGATAGATCCAATCCATTAACTGAGAAAGGTTTTCTTCTATTAGAGGATAAAAATGTATCAAATTTAACAGCATTGGAAAAAGATGTACAACATGGTGGTTCGATTTATTTTCTACTGCAGCCGGGAGAGAATGAAGAAACTAATGGTCAAATTTTAATGGTACATGATAGTGATCTTTATTTTGAAACATATAATTATGCTGATAAATTAATGGGTATATGTTTTATGAATAAAAATAATAAACATAATTATCTTCAAAAATTACAAGAAAATATGGGAAGATATTTAACAGATATAAAACCATTTTATGATATACAATTATGTTGTGATTTTATATTGAAAAATACTGATAGAAAAGTTTTTTTTATTCTATACGATGAACGTATTTCCCCATATATTTTACAACATCACTTCCACAGCAAATACAATATATTTATGTTTATATTGATGCTGATAATAATGACACAGATAAAGATCAGCAATGGTCTAAATCATATACGAAACTTCGTGGTATTTTTCATAATGAGTCAACATTAAACAAAAAATTGAAGGATGATATTAATCATTATTATCGACAAAATATCAATGTTGAGATTTTATCAATTGGAATAAATGCACTATTAAATTTTGAAGATAATACGGCAACATTTAAATGGTATTTTTTGGCTACACATGTTTTACTAGAAACAAATGATCAATATGATCATTCAAAATCAGAAATGTTACATATATTACGAACATATTATGGTAAAGAAAATGAATATTATTTAAAACAATTAACAGATTTCGAAAATAATTATACGAAATCAGATGCTATTAAATGGTATACCAAAAATGGTTTTATGTATCGTATGGTTAATCGTGCTTGTTGTACACACGATATTGATGCTTTATTTTTAATTCGATTTTTTATTAAAGATCTTCATCAACAAATAGTTGAGATGCATAAGGAATTAAAAGAAACTTTGACTGGACCAATTGTTGTTTATCGTGGTGTAAGTGAACCATCATCAGAGGCAATTGAACTATTGAAACAAAAAAAATTAATATCATTAAATGGTTTTGTTAGTTGTACACTTGACAAACATGTAGCATTAGGTTTTGCTAGTCCATCATCCGATCGTGTCTGTTTACTAATGGAAATATTAATTGATATTGAAAAAGATACCACACAATTTGCTTCGATCAGTTCCGTTAGTGAAAATCCAGATGAACAAGAGATTTTAATTACATTGAATAGTATTTTTTCTGTAAATGATATATATTACAGTGAGACAACTACAGAAAAAATTTGGTATGTTAAATTATCATTAGTTGATAAAAGTGAAGATAAAATATTGAGTTTATTCGACTCGGTAAAATTACCATCATTCGGTTTACATATTCTAGAATTATCAGCAAGTACACAAATTGGACTTTTATTAATGAAGAAAAATGATCATGAAAAAGCCATAAAATATTTTGAAAAAAAATTGGAAGAAATATCAGTTGAACATTTTGAATATCCAACGGTATTGACTTATCTTGGTAATGCAAAATTTTTCCTTGGACATATAAAAGAAGCTAAGCATTTACATGAACGTGCTCTTTCGATTGCATTAAATGCACAGCTCTCACTGAAATATATAGACATAATAATAGATATTCTAACAGCTATGGTTCATATAGAATTAACGAAGAAAGATAAACAAGATGAAACCAATTTAACAGAATGTTATTTAGGCGCTATAGGATTGATGCAAGCTTATAGTAGTAATGAAATCTATGAAATAACGAATTTAGTTATTGGGCGTATTTATCAACTACTATCCGACGTATACATACATCAGAATTCGTTTGCTCAGGCAGAAAGTTATTCCAAAAAAGCAATCGGATCCTTTTCTATGAATAATTTTCTTAATAATCGTAGTAAGACTTTTTTATGTCAAACCTATCTTCAACTGGCATCTATTCACTATGAATTAAAAAAATTTTCTAACATGTATGATATGTGTCTAGAATCATTGAAAGCTTTTACTGAACAAACTAAACAATTACAGTTACGCATCCGTACATATAATGGGAAAGAATCATCATTCGAAGTTGGTATATATTCTAAATTGGGAGATGCTTGTCGTGAACTTAGTAAACATAAAGAAGCAATTGAATATTATGAAAAAGCCATTGAAATTGAAATAAAAGAACAAAGTCCAAATAATAATTTTTTACAAGGTACAAAAATGAATATTGGTTTAGTTAATGAACAAATGAATAATTATGATGAAGCTATAGGCATGTATAAACAAGCAATTGAAATTATTTTAAAAACAAAAATGGCTGATGATCCTTGTTTATGGAAACTTTATTTATATATGGGTCTATGTTATAACTCTATGAATAATATTGAAGAATCACTTAATTATTTAAAAAAAGTTGAATTAATTCATCAAACAATAATTATTAAAAATTATATACCTCTATATCCATATATAACTTCGTTATATTTTACATTTGGTGAATGTTATGTATATTTGGAGAATTATCAATTAGCTATTGATTATTATGAAAGAGTAATTTCAATTGAAGCTGAAGGTAATCAAATCAATTATAAACGTTTAGAACATATTTATAAAACTATAGTTAAATGTATTATTGAATTAAACAATAATGATGAAAAAGAAATTACATATGTTGAAAAAGAAACTATATATAATAAAAAAGCTTTTGAAAGTTATATTATGAGGATGGACATCTCAACTCGCAATAGTGAATGGAATATCAATACAAATAAACTAAGTGAATATTATTATTATATGGCATGGTATTATTGTAAAACGAATAAATTTGAATTAGCATCATTCTGTTATGAACGAGTAATTACTACTGCTATTGATCAAATGAATTATGATCTTTTAGGTGCCTTATACTATTATCTTGCTAATGTTTATCAGAATATGGAAAATTTTGAAAAAGCTATTCTATTTTATAAAAAATCTATTGAAATCATTTTTGAAAACAATATAGATGATGATGGTGATAATTTTGTAATTCCAGCATATTGTCAAATTGTTATTATTTGTCAACAAAATAAGAATAATGAAGAAAGTGTTGAATATTTAGAAAAGCTCGAATATATTTACAAAATAAAACGAAATAATAATAATAATAATAATACAGTAAACATGGACTCTAATATGATTGCAGTTTATAATTATCTTGCAAAAATTTATGAATATGAAGAACAATATCAATTAGCTGTTCAATATTATGAAAAAATTATTGATATTGAACTTAAACAAAATAATTCCGTAGATAAATTATATATCCATTGTGGTGATATTATTGGTAGAATTGGTGATTACGAAAAAGAAATTGTATTTTACAAGAAAGCTTTGGAAAGTCTATTAAAAACAATATCATCGGATGATCAAAGTTTATGGGTATTGTATTTAGCCATGGGATCAGCATATCTACTCAATAATGATATTCAACAATCAATTGAATATTTAGGAAAAGTTGAAGTTGTGTATAATACTGATAATAATTTAATGACAAATGATGCTATAGCAAGTTGTTATGGTAATCTTGGCGCGTGTTATAAACTAATGAATGACTATGAATTATCAGCTAATAAATCATCCATAAAGAATGTCCGATAAAAAGGAATTTGTCATTCTTTAACTGTGTTGATTTGTTTTTTGAAAATTTTTTTCTTGGACAGAAAAGCGTGAATTGTTCAAATTTTTCGTAAGAACTATCCTGCTTAAAAAACTTTTCAACCATTTAGGTGTCCGTTTTCATTTCCACATCATCGAATGGGTGACTTTATGCGGTTGTTGATACTTACATAAGACGATAAACATTGTTACTTTTACTGCGTGTTAAGTAAAGTAAAAATAATATGTTAATAGCAGCAATATGGAGTTACATACAGCTACTGTTAATATATTATTTTTACTTCCTCAAGACGAGACACTCATGATGAATGATCCCTAATTATTATAAAAAATCAATAAAACCATGGATAAAAGCAAAATGTCGACGTCGTATAATTTTTGATATATATATGGTAATTTCAAATTTGTATAAACAATTAAATAATAATAAAAAAGAAATTTATTATCGAAAGAAAGCTGGAAAATATTTTGATATACTTCCATTTATACCACATTTTTCTTTAGTCGATAGTAATGATGATAATAGCGATTTGGAATGAGTGCTTTTCTATTTTGAACAATTATCACAAAATCATATACATGCAATATTCAACAGGTGGGATTAAAAATAAAATTGTATTTTCCTTTTTATAACATTAATTTAAATTATTCTTAATAAATGATCAGATACAACGAAGTATTGTACTCAAAACTGTCGTTATGAGCCCATTGGTGCACATAATCTTAACGATTTCAGTACTAAATACTGTGTGTGAAGACTCACAAACGCTTCTATTAATCTTTTGTAGAACACAAGCAAGAGCAGTATAGCTTTTAATATTCTAACAGCCAAGCGACCTGAAGGTGATCATACTCTCCCACATGTCGAATCAATGATTAAATCATAATGTATCTCGTGGGATCTACGATCTCTAATCAACACATAGGCATGATATGGATGGTTTTCGCCATAATTTTTAATACGGTATGCATTCATACGGCATTTTTAATTTGTAGACAATCTCCTTGCATTCCAATGGATTCTATTTTAAGGATACCGGTTTCTAGAATAACTTTTGCGACTAGAATCCAGTAAATTAATCTGAATTTGCTGGTGATCTGGAGATGAGCGGATATCCGAAATAGGAATATCCGCATATAAATATTTGAGTTAAGGATATCTGAGACCGGATGTCGGTCAACATGGCTTGGAAAATACACATTCGAGATTAATTTGACGTTCTAAAAAGTGAATTGATGGTGGAAACGCTGTAAAAGCATAAAGGTCATAAAAGCTATAAAAGTTGCTTTCAATTTTTCAGTTTTTATTTCATTCTTTCAATCTGACTATACAAAAATAGAGTGGACGTGTGTATGTATAGAAGAAGCATGTGGAGGTTATATATATGCAAGAACTTTTGAATTAAATGTATTTTGACTAACGATGTTACATAGTCAGGAAACAGTAAACAGTAAACAAGCAAAGAAGAAAATTTCGCTTACATAAGAGGCACTATTAGCGATAGTGAGAGAGAAAAAATGAATCGTAATACGGTGAGAGAGAGAATAATGTACGTTGTCTACACTAGGAATGCATCGTTGTTTTTGTATATTTTTCAAAAATTCATAATAAACGCCTAAGCTGCTGAAATGGTCGGTCCACTTGCTCAGAAAAAAAATTTTTATCTTTGGATCTTTGGAAATTTTTATGTTCTTATCTTTGGAAAGACGTTCCTCCACGTCTCGGTGGGGGCAGGCGTGTGAGAGTGAGTCACGATCGTTGCCTGATCTGGATAGTGATGTGAACTACTTGTGGTTTCAAAATGCAACATAGTTGGTTGTTAATTTAAAACCTTTGGTTAGACAAGAGAGAAAACCTTGCGGTTTTGGCAACTCTGCAGTCAATGTGGGGTCACCATATTGGTTTGTTTGATTTTTAGTTATATGTATTCAAACAGCCAGATGCTGATCGACCCTAAGTTTTTTATTTCTGTATTTCGGCTGTGTTTTGTATGCCAGCCATTTTCGAACAGTTTATTCTATGAGTCCATATCTTTGGAAACATGTGCCTCATGGATGGTGATCTGAACTACTTGCGGATTCAAATTGGAAAGTACTTGGTTCTTTTCTTAGTAACTTCGGTTAGAAAAGGGACAACAAATGTACGGTTTTTTCAACTGAGCAGTCAAAGTTATATCACCTTTTATCCGAAAATAAATGTTGCCACGTTAATCAGGAGGACCGATTATCTATGTCTTGTGTATTTTTTGAGTTTGTAAGAGGCAGAAAGTCCAATTCTAGTGCTTCGCGAAAAACCGCGTCATCTGAAAAGCCGAGCAAAACCAAAATCTCGCTTGGATCTCGTTTCCCAGAAAATACTTCGGACTATTTGTCTATCTAAAATACATTCTTAGGTTTTGCTTTCAGCAAAACCTACAAGGTTTTCGAAAGCTCTCATAGAAAACCAGTCTTTGAGACATTTCCAAAACTAGATCTCCAAACTAGACAAAGCAGGTCATAACGCTATAAAAGCCATAAAAGTCATACGAGCATAAAAGTATAAAAGTCATAAAAGCATCAAAGTCATAAAAGTATAAAAGTATAAAAGTCAGAAAAGCATAAGAGTCATAAAAGCACAAAAGTTTAAAAGTCAGAAGAGTTTAAAAGTATAAGAGTCATAAAAGCATACAAACTATAAAAGCCAGAAAAGCATAAAAGGCATACACGAATAAAAGCTTAAGAGCTTAAAAGTCATAAAAGGATAAAAGCTGCAAAAGCATCAAAGACAGAAGAGTAGAAACGCTGGAAAAGCGCGTTATGTAACGTATTTTTTATAAGATATTTTTCGGATATCCGCCCAGCCCTCGATATAAAGCCACATCGTTTGATTACCCGGTTGCCTAATCTGCCATTTGAACTATCCAGATACACCTCTTCTCCTATAGCGACATCTTGCAACAAAACACAATCATCATTGCATCGAGATTAATATCAGGGGTTGCAAACATCCTATTCTAGGCTAACACACCGATCAGGTGTCCCAGTGAACGGTTATAGCCTGCGACCCTGGGATACGTTCAATCACGTCGAGCAATCAAGAACCTTATTTGAAATGGCTTAATTTCTGCCGCAAGAACAGATTCTACGTCAATATACACGATTGCGTTTCGAGTATACTAACATCTCGGTTTTTTCTTAGACTCGCAGCCTGGTGAATGAAGATTGGGTTTGCAGTTTAGTTAGCACACTGCCGGCAATAGTAAAATCGCGTAACAAAAAACTGACCACATTTTTGAGCTTGTCATGCATCTTCTGACGGTCACGATTGGCAATGGCTGCTTCGCAAAGTGAAATGCCAACTGCTACCACACAAAGTCATGATTGAGAGTCAGCAAAATTAAGTTGAATTGCAAATGAGAAGAAAAACTGAATCTTTTTCATGAATGTTTTCGAGTCCAAGCAACCCATGTACAGTTCCGGCTTTTTATTGTAATCACGCGACAAAACTCTTGCTATTTTATTTTTTCTACTTCTTACATTACTTGCTTCTTGTATCCCAAAGAATGCGGCGCGTTGTATCTTTCAACCTTACTGATGGCATCCATGTTCAGATATGGCTTTTCTAAGAGTCGTGAGATATAAGGTTTTTGATAGAAAATTTGTTTTATTTTGAGAAGAATATTGCCGTTACATTTGAAATTTTTTTGGAGCACACTGGTGTCCAGGAAATCTGCTTTGGCTAAAGTTGTACATCGATATTCGTTCGTGAAATTTGCACTCTTTCAAAATTTAAATTTGAATAAGAATCTTGTTCGATTTGATTTTATCAAAATTCCGAAACGAGCGTTTCGTTCCGTCGTTCACGCTCTTCCGAAATTAGAATCGAAATAATCGAAGCTCTCTAATTGCATTAAATTGTAATGAATTTTGGGTGAAACATTAGGACATGCTTGGTTTTATCCACTAAATATGATTGTATCATCGAAAAAACTGAAAAGCCATGTTTTGGTTTAGGGGTTTTTTAGAAACTTTTGCAGAAAACCATAGGATTTTGTAAGTTTTTTTTGTATATTTCTTATAAATAAAATATAAAGTATTCTAAGTACTGTAAATCCTAATGTTCCCAACTCGTTCTGAGATTTTCTGAGTTAATGGTAAATTTTTTAATATTATGTGAAAAGAGCCTGGAAATCCTAATTTTCGTAAATCTTTCGCTAGTTTTTTAAATCTTATTCTAAACAAAAAAGGCGTTTGCTTGTGGAATCAGGCCTCCAAGTCTCCTCTTTATAATCGAGCTCTCTCGCTGCTTTCTATCAAAAGTTATTGAAAAAATAGCAGCGTCTATTCTTTTTTCGACAGGCATTAATACATTTATTTACCAGTTATTTTCTGCGCCCGACTAGTAATATCCTATCTATTCGTAAACGGCCTTCTTAACTCTTTCTTTTCTACTTTTAAGCATAAAAAGTAATTTTTGGAAATCTTGCCAGCGATTGCACGATAATAAAGAATTTCCGAGAAAACTTTTCGCTGGCGAAGTTGTAGCTGATGTCATTCTGCATGGAATAAGCGGAACGGAATTTTAAGAAAAAATAACTGTTTACCGGTAACATTTTGAACATCTGTGATTTGGATGGTGATTTTAGTTGCCAATGCGAAAATGTATGTTTTCGAATTTCATTTGTTGCTGACGATTCACAAAATCTTCTCGATGATGAATTTTCAGTAGCGTATGATTTTCGACTACTTTGTGTACCCTCATCGTCCCGCTGCTTCCGTTTAACAATGGATTTTGTTTCATCCGACAGTTGCTTATCTACTATTATTGATTTAGTTTCGAAATCAAGTGATGTTTGTTTTGTGGTAGTTAAATTTCTCCTCATAGTTTCAATTAATTGTCCATAGTTTTGGTAATATTTCTCCTTCATTTGTTTATAATTTTTATCTATTTTTTGGACTGTTGGCTGAGACAGAAATTGACTACGCATAGTTGTTGTTGCCAT